CGAAACGTAGCATGTTAATAAATTCAGAAGTAGTATATCTATATAAGTGTTTTTAATTTGTGAAATCTACTTCTATATGTCTTATAAGGATTATTACTAAAGTCTGTTCGACAAAAATCATAGTCTCGATTATCCACTTACTCGTTAAATCGAGAAGGAAAGTTATGCAGCAAATCGGATAATAATCCAACAAATATCGCAGGCTAGCGTTGATTATAGTCTGGATACGTTAATCAATGTCTAATTAATAGTTTATATAACATTTCAGGCCTAAAGAAAGACATAGAATATGCAAATTTAGCTCTTGCATAATGCATGTTTAATTTATATAATACATAGAAATATTTTATAACCTTTCAAAATTAAGATAAAGTCCCCGCGAGGCCGATTAGGCTCTATACGCGGTATTGGATGATGCATTTCCGTGTTCCTGGGATATATAAGATAGTGTGCTTAATATACGTAACACATTAGAAAGAAATATCATTATTTTATGGAAATCAATTGAAAAAATATCCGCAAACCTTTTAATCGTATAAGAAAAGGGCTGACTGCTAAGCGAGGCCGGTTGTCTACTTCATGTGGTATAGTGCGATGAATTCCGCTATTTCTGTGATATTATTCTTAATTTATATAATACAATCACTTAAATATAATTTTTCTATGAAATTTAATTCATAGAAATACTTTATAATCTTTCAAAACTTAAGAAAAAGTCCCACTGATAAGCGAGGCCGATTGTATACTTCATGTTGTATAATGCGATGAATTCCGCTATTTCTGTGATATACATGATATTATTCTTAATTTATATAATACAATCACTTAAATATAATTTTTCTATGAAAATTAATTCATAGAAATACTTCATAATCTTTCAAAATTAAGAAAAGGTCCCACTGCTAAGCGAGGCCGATTGTTTACTTCATATGGTATAGTGATACAATTCTTAATTTATAAAATGCAATCACTTAAATATTGTTTTCTTTCTATGAAAATTAATTCATAGAAATACTTTTTAATCTTTCAAAATTAAGAAAAAGTCCCACTGCTAAGCGAGGCCGATTTTATACTTCATGCATAGCGAGGCCGATTAGGCTATTTACGCGATATTTGGTGATGAATTTCCGTGTTTCTGGAATATATAGTATAATGTCCTTAATATACGTAAAACGCTCGAAAGAAATATGATTATTTTATCAAAATCAATTGAAAAAATATCACCCAAATCTTTTAAACATAAGAAAAATTCCCACTGCTAAGCGAGGCCAATTGTGTACTTCATATGGTATAGTGCGATGAATTCCGCTATTTCTGTGATATTATTCTTAATTTATATAATACAATCACTTAAATATAATTTTGCTATGAAATTTAATTCATAGAAATACTTTATAATCTTCCAAAATTAAGAAAAAGTCCAACTGCTAAGCGAGGCCGATTGTATACTTCATTCATAGCGAGGCCGATTAGGCGCTATACGCGATATTGGATGATAAATTTCCGTGTTTCTGGGATATAATATAGTATAATGTCCTTAATATACGTATTTAACGTTCGAAAGAAATATGATTATTTTATCAAAATCAATTGAAAAAATATCCCCCAAATCTTTTAAACAAAAGAAAAAGACTGACTGCATTGCGAGGCCGATTGGGGGTTCTATATGTAGTACAGTGCGATGGAATTTACTATTTCTGAGATATATAAAATAAAAGTGAGAGAGAGAGAGTGGGTGGGTGGGGGGATTTAACGATTTAGTGGAAGATCGAACATCTCATTTTTGCAACTACGATACAGCGAGCCTGTTTAGATTCTATGTGATATAGGGCGATGGGTTTGCCTACTAGATAAAAGATAATATTCATCATTTATATTAACATTCAAGTATGGAAATTAATGGAGAAAATTTTTACAAGATATAAACATAAGAAACGGGTGCAGGGAGATCCAAACTCTCATTTTAACCACAACTAAAAGTAATATCAAGGCCGTATGTCGAACTGTCAATCAAATTGACTGACGTACGGCCTCGCTCAGCAGCGGTCTCGCTCAGCACGCGTTTTCATTTACTAACTAGACTCTATCACACAGACATTTTTGTTAAAGGGAATTGCGCGTATTCAAATGTGACCTGGAAGACAGAGACTACAATAACTTCCTAGGCGAAAAGTAGAAAAGTCGAAAAGTCGACAGTAGGACAGATCATAGGTCGTTAATAGCGCAGTGTGTTAATTTCCTAATTTCTACTTTTCGAGTTGCATTTTGGCTTGTATAGCGTGTTGGCGCCTTCTTACTGACATCAATAAATACAAAAATATGACTAAGTCGAAAGTCGACAAGACGGTATACAAGCCAAAATGCAAGTCGAAAAGTAGAAATTAAGAAAAAACGGGGGGCGCTATTATCGCGGTGTGTTATTTCTTAATTTCCTATTTTCGAGTTGATTTTGGCTTGTATACCGTCTTGTCGCCTCACATTTTGTCGTAACTTCTACTTTTCGACTTTTCGACTTTTCGACTTTCGTGTTCTGAAGAGGCGAAAAGTAGAAATTATGAATGGTAGTTATAGGCTTCCATACTTTAGTGTGTAATACTGTTTTATATTGTAGTTATGTAAATATAAATGTACAGTGTATTTCAAAAAAAAAAAATAAAATAAATAACAAAAAAAATATCAAATCAGACAAAAATAACTAGGCCTATATGCAATGAAATTACTACAATTTTGCATTTAAAGCTGTCCGATATTTGTCAATAAAATATGCCTCTTTGGCTTCTAATAAATCATTATTATTACTATTAAGCTTGTACATCGGAAAAACGCTAAATTTGCAACCACCACAAACATCTATATGTCCACTAAGGGGGGTCATCCTATAATGTGGATTGAGTATATGATGTCGATGGAGGATCATCCTTGTCTTCAGCATATTTATAGTTTTTCCAATGTACCGTCTATTACAGCCTGAACAAACAATCACATATATGACATAATTGATTTTACAGTTCATGGGTTGTTTCATATGAAAGAGTTTGTTATCGGTGATTTGGATTAAGGAGCCCTTAATTATTATTTTACAGGTCTTGCAATTTATTTCTCCACATTCACTTACCACCGGTGTATCTGGACTACTATCAAATTTTGAAGATATTAATAATTTAGCTAGATTTCGTGGCTGTTTAAGATTGTTAATAATCTTAGTTTTAGACAAAATTTTTGACATAACCTCACTATTCCTAAGGATGTGTAAATTATTATTTATCAAAGACCTCCTATCTTCTTGTGAAGGGTTAAATGTTGTGACTAAAACAACATTTATATTTTCGCATGCTGGGTGTGTTCTTGGTAGTCTTAACATTGTCTGATATAGACTTAAGGCCCGAATCGTTGCATCTTCTATGAGACCTGGGGGATAGTCTTGTTTCAATAAGAATGGTTTTAATTCCTCTAGTCGCTTAACTTTGACAACCGGGTTCGAAACAATGGTACATATACTCTTCTAGCTAAATTATATGGAATGTTCTGTTTGGTATGAGAAGGATGACAAGAGTGAAAGTTTAGATAATGCCGTTATTGTTTTGAACGACATAACGTGTGTATATTGGAAGATGAGGTTCATTTTATCTGTCCATTGTATGAGACTTTAAGAAAAAGCATTATTCCACAAGAATGTATCCTTAACGATTTAAATGCATTGTTTATTCAGGTTATGTCTGAACCCAACCTAACCTTAGCAGTCTTCATATATAAAGCTATGAAAATACGAGAAAACTATGTTACAAACGTAAAATGAATATAAATGTATTTTATCTACTTTATCATGACATGGAATATTGTTTTAAATTTTGAGATTATAATAGAAAATATTTTCTTTTGATGTTAATTGTTTGTAATTATATCACATGTTCTATGGGCTGTAGGCCTGATACTGATGTTTCAATAATAAAAAAAAATAAATACGTTGGCAGAATCTTTGCACCATGTACAGTTTTGGCTGCACAAACTAACTAAATTCCCCCGCCCCCCCCCCCCCCAAGAAAAAAATAATAAAAAGAAACAATACGTGTTTCGTTCGAATACATAATAATTAATATCAAGTGTTATTTTGTTTCATGTATAGCAGAAATGAGGAAATCTTTGCTAGAACAAAATTGATGCTCCTACATAAAAATGGAATTTGAGTTAAACGTACTACCTTTCTGCAGCAACTGGGATAATTCAGTGTGCTATGAGAGAAATGAAAATGGTGCTCTCTTAGAGGTAATATGTATCTTCGTTTAATAATGTTATTTTATTGAAAATTTAAGTGTGGTTATTGAAGTGTGGTAGAAATGAACACTTCAGATATCAAATTTATCACTTCGAGCACGTATTGTCATCCACACTTCATATGGGTGGCGCCATCACTTCATTTGCGTAACATAAGATCAAAATAAAGATATGTATAGGGATTCTGTCAACCAAACTATTGACATTTTTGCAAAGCTCGGATTTGCTATTAATTATAATTTAGTGAAACATCAAATAGAACGGACTGTGTTTGGCTTAATTCAGTAAACATAATCATTAAAATGGATGATGAAAAGGCCATAAATATTAGAACATTATCAATAGAAAGTTTACAAAAAACTTTAGAATTTTCAATATTTTCTTCAGCCATATCCCCAAACCATACTTAACGTACCAAAATATTAAAAAAAGAACGTGCCCTGACAACTAAGACTGCAAAGCAAGGGCAATAACTCCGAAGATATTTACCGAACAAATCTTATCCATAAACTTAAATTTGCAGAACGAAACGGTGTAAAGATAGGAAGACAATGGATTATTTTGCATCATACCTGGGCATATTTGGGAACTTATACTTTCTCTGAATCAAGCATTGATTCTTAAGTATTGCATGACTAGGGTGATAAATATCAAACATTGAGACATTTCTTAACACTAAAATAAAACATTTTAAACTTATAAAAAATGTCAAATAGAGATACACATACCAAGCAATATCGAGGATGCATGCCTGTTTCACCAGCTATAATAAATATATACTCATTTGTTTTCCAACTGGACCAGCAGCTTAATCGTTTATCTGAAAAAAGAACAACCCGTCTACAAGTCCTAATAATCAACAAGGGTCACATATCGATGGCCTGGTAGGCAGATGTTACCTGCCCAGTTTTGGTCAAAAGGAGGGTTTGAACTTTATGGATAACACAAACAGACTTCTTTCTATTTCTGTAAATACTGTAAGTCCAGCTTAATTAGATGCAATCATATTGACATGAAAACATTATAGCACATGTCTTCGGTCTGTGAAAGTTTAGTATGCACAAGTGATATGTGTGGATAAGTAACTTTTGTCCACTGATATCCTGTAAAACTATACAGAAACCAGTGGACATGTCGCCACAAAACACTGAATATCGATAGGGATCGTCCTCTCATAACCCAAATGCTTCAAACTAAACCTGAAGAAAAATCCGTTAAAAACTGCAACCTCTCCCGTTAACAAAGTTTTTGGTAAAGGGGGTAACTTTGTAACGGAATGTAGCGGTACACTGAGTATCGGAAGTGTTCGTCCTCGTGTAACTCCAATGTTTCACACCGAATTTGAACAAATAGTCTGTCATATTAACAAGGTATTTTAAAAACATTTGCGATAAAGTTAATAACAAATTATAATTAAAGCAAAAACAGCAACTATGCAAGAAATGGTGATGGCTGAGCGACGATTGACCACTCGTCATATTGCCAGTGTTGTGGGCATTTCTCATGAGAGGATTGAGAACATTATCGCCAACAAGTTAGGAATGACAAAAGGTTCTTCAAGATGAGTGCCAAAGCTCTCTGGGCTGCGGATCAAAAACGTGTCAGATTCGTGACAAACTGTGCCATTTTGAAGCGGATTCTAATAATTTTTTGGCCCGATTTGTTTCCGCCTGACTTCCACCTGTTTCCAGAAATGAAAAGGAACTAGCAGTTCCTCATTTTCCTATTATTGATGACGTCAGGACTTTCTCAGATAGGCTTAGCAGCCAGCCCTTATAATTCTGGAACGGAAAGACGCGGAATGCTGAATGTTGACAGCGTTTATAGTCTATTGGTCCCAATGCTTCACACCAAACAATAGTTAAAACCCGTAACCTCTATCGCAATTAACCAGGTTTTAGGAAAAGGGGTTTACTTCGGAACGGACGGTTCGCAAACTACTGAATGTTGATAATAGTCATCGTCATTACCTTGGTTATGACGAGATCACAATAGCTCAATATTTTCTTACTTTGAACCTATTTCTGGCGTTCCTGTGCATATTATATAACTTACATGGCGTTAAGTCCATCCAGAAAATGGGACCTGTTTCAAAAGTTTAGTTTTCAAATATGCCTTTACGGAACCAATTTGCAGGAAGTCTGGAATCAATTCCATTCAAGTGATTATTTCGATTTGTGTAGGACCTAACCCTAGTATATCATGCATGTTCTAATTGCATACTCAACCATCGATATGAATTTTTAAATTTGAGATGAATTAAGTACAATCCATGATAATCACGAAAAAAAAGAAAAAACAAACATATATCCGTCATGTACAAAAATATATTTTTTGAATATAAAGGCTGCTTCGTGTTAAAATTAGAAACTGATGTATAACCTCCATGTGTAAATCTTCGCAATACACTACACTCAATATGTTTAGAGAAATAGCCGTTTATAATTTTCCAAATATTCAGGTGGAGATTCAGATTGACTCCATGTGTAGTCTTTATCCACAGGTGATTCTCAGTCGACTCTTAGTATGTAATATTGGAAAATTGTATGAAACACGTGGTTTTGGATTTAATGTTTCACAAACACGCAGCAACTAAATGAATGTTTTATACGATCAGAAAACTATAGAAAGCTTTTGAAACGATCATTATACTACCTGGTTGACGCGTTCAAAAATATAATTTATTCGCAATCTTCATAAAAAGGACTGTTTTTATTATTAATTCTTTCGGAAAGTAAGGTCGCGAAACGGTAAATATCGATATGGTTCGTCCACTTATAGACGGTGAATATCGATAGTGTTCATCCAATTATAACCTAAATGTTTCACAACATATTTGAAAAATATTATCATATTGTACATTTTCAGACGAAAAGGCTTTATTGAAATTTGCATATTTAAGTATTATAACTACTGTTCTCGTGATAATCAACTAAACAATATAGTAAATAGAATTGTTTAAGTTGTTGAGGATTAACCACTTTTCGTAATCATTGTGAGGAAACTGGTAGGTTTGTTTATAAGTTAGTAACGTGTTTCTATAGATTTTTTAACTTAACAACTCAAAGATATATAAACCCAAGAAACAGTCAGTTCTTTAGTTACGTTTTTAGGTATGTGTAAATATGCCTTGGGTTTAATATCAAGTCATTTTGTATATATCTAAGTTTCTAAGAATACTTAATAATATACTAAGCAGCAAAAGAAACGTCAGGTTGGTATGTTACTCTGAATAGACGCATTGTATAAAACTTGCCAAATGTTTTTATTGTATATTTGTGACCACAGCTCCAACTTTACTTGAGCAATAAAGCACCTTCCCAAACACAGAATTGAACCCTGGAAATATTCTCAAAAACGCAACCTGACTTCTGAGATAGTAATGTGTTCTCCATAATTTTCATGTAACTCATGCTGCACGTGCTGTTCACCGGGACAGGCCCTATAAAATGTAGCCCCATACCGGGTTGAATCATTAACACTACAACGTCAGCAGCATGCCACGACTCACGACAGCTCAGATGAACCCTGGGCTCTTACACATGCCTGAAGTTGCCTTGGCATGGACTGGGTCAGATGTCTCCCTACACACTGTGGGATTGTTTGCTAATGAATTTGGAGTGCCTGTGCTAATTGTGCCAAATTTATAGAAAATTGGCAATCCTTGGATGAGATTTGACGTGTAAATATTGAAAATATATTGTGCAGTACGGTGTTCAAATAGACTAAAGTCACCATGAAATAAAATCTGTACTTATTAAATCCAAACTTTGCTAATCTATACTGAGCGCCATGGAAAACGCATCACTTTTTTTCCCAAATATTTTATTACTAGGTGGTTTTGTATGTATAATATTATGCAATACTATGAACTATTGTTTCACACAATGCTTCCAAACGCAAAAAAAGATCGGCCCGTGTGCACAAAAAAAAAATTGCACGAGATGCACATGAAAAACTCAATATTCACGTGCAGCATTGTGTGTGAGCCCTTTAAAAGCATGTTTTCAACTTAATGTGCAGTACATGAACTGTGAAACGTCAATCTGTCGTAATTTGTTGTTGGACGTGTGAAGGAATCGAGCTAGAGATGCCGAGACTTACTGAAAATCAACGGAATGAAGCCATGGGAATGTCCCGGGCTGGCATGTCTACACGTGCTATTGCCAGACACTTCAATTGTCATCAGTCCACTATTGTAAGGTTGGTGGAACGTGTTCGAGTTACTGGATCAACACGTGACCGTAAACGTCCTGGTCCACAACGCGTTACAACCCAGGCTCAAGACCGCTACATCCGGGTCACTCATCTGCGTGACAGATTCCGCCCAGCGACTCGAACGGGTGCAGCAGTCGTCGGAAGACAAGGACCAGTAAGTGCCAACACCGTAAGACGTCGTCTAAGAGAAGTAGGACTCCGTGCACGACGACCTTATGTTGGAGCTATCCTCAAGGATCATCACCGCCAGCGGCGTTTGATATGGGCTTAAGGACACCAGATATGGAGAAGAGTAGACTGGCAAAGTGTGCTCTTCAGTGATGAGAGTCGCTTTCATCTTTATCACGCTGATGGCCGTCAACTGTGTGGAGACGTCTTGGGGAACGTCTTGCAGACTGCTGCGTCTTCGAAACGAATCGATGGGGTGGGGGAAGTGTAATGGTGTCGGGAGGCTTCACATTTCATCACCGGACCGCCCTACACATTTACAGGGGTCGTGTTAATGCTGTAGCCTACCGTGATGATGTCTTGCAACCAATTGTTGTTCCGATGTTTCGAGCGCACCCACAACTTCAGCACTTCCAACAGAGCGCATACCGCCCGTTTTTGTATGGACTACCTGGCTGCTAACAACATCAATGTCTTGGACTGGCCAGCCATGTCTCCGGACATCTCTGGGATGAGATTGGACGCCGTCAGTATCGGAGACCACAGATGCACACCATTGCTGCTTTAGAAGCTGTTCTTGTCCAAGAATGGAACAATTTGCCCCAGGCCTTCTTTCAAACATTGGTTAATTCCATGCGACGTCGCTGCACAGCGTGCGTAAGAGCCCGTGGGAGGACACACGCGCTACTGACATCTGTGTCGTACTTTTGGCTTTGACCCCTCTGACTTTGTACCGTTGATTACAGATTAAACATCCATAAGTGTACAAATGTGTTGTTATTGATGTGTTCCTATTTAAATATTCTTCACAATAAGAAGCAAAATAAATAAGATATGTTTACAGGATTATTTTGTTATACGAAAAACTAAGTGATGCGTTTTCCATGGCGCTCAGTATATATTATGTAAAGGCAGATCTTTAAAGTTGTTGTATATTGCATTGTATATATCGGTAATTGTTTTATAATAAGCCTAGCTGAGACATAAAATTGTTAGGTGTTGTCTTTTTTATCACACATTTTTGGCAGATAAAATATTCCATTTGACGGAAAAAAGTAAGAACAATTTTTTTATATATAAAAATGATCATTCATTTTGGCGGACAAAAATCGAAAGCCAGTATGATCCCTGGCCAACTCTGCAACGGTACGTGGTGGCACGGCTTGAGTTCAAATCCGTCGTCCAAGTTAATCCCAAAGGTGTTCGATCGGGTTCCTGTCGGAAGACATAGCGTGCCCATCCATAACCCGGACATGACGATTGTTCAGAAAGTTTCTTGTCAAGCTGTCTGTGTGGGTTCGGGCGTTGTCATGCTGGAAAACCATATGTCGGCGGACGCCATGTTGAACCAGCAAAAGAAGCAACACCTGACGAAGAATGGCGTCAACATAATGTTGAGCGTTAAGATTGCCTTGGACCACCACCAACTGGGAC